AACCACGGGTCTAGGGGTTCCCTATTCTGCATGCTGGGGCCTGTGTGCACTGCTCTGATGTTGCATGGGTTTGGGTGGCATACTCTTAGCAACATAAACAGTTCTGGTGACTTGAAGCATGAAAGGACTTGATCAGAAGACGTCAGAGGTCACAGAATTCACAGAAAAGCTGAAGAGCTGGCATGAAGAGGAAAACTAGGGACTAGGAAAAATCCGAGCAGATTCATCAGGGAGGCCTAGCTTAGGTCACATGCTCATGCCTGGCACAGAAGAGGCGGGACTCTGTGATTGACAACTCCACTAGGGCTGTATCCTGGCCAGTCACCAGGAGAAGGAAGAGTGGACCTGGCAAGCCACAGCATTAGTCACTCTACAGGATTGCAGAATGTCTAAGGAGAGCAAATGACCATGCCTTGTAAGTGTCCATATGTCCCATGGGGTGCCAGGCGCTGTGCAAGGGCTGTGGATGGACTGGGTCCTCAGGAAGCCTCCCTCTCCAGGAGCTGATGCTGCCCACAGCAGCTTCACTAAGGCCACTTCCTGCAGAAGTGAGACATCTGCCACCAGCTGAGCAATGCTCTCGCACACATCCTTGCCCATAGAGCCAAAGTGAGAAATGCCACAGCTATGTCACTGGACTTGGGCACACAGGCCAAGATTGTTTCTGAACTGGAGATGGAAACTCTCCGTTTCCAGGGCACCACGCTCTTAGCTGTGGGGAGTCAGCGCATGCTGGTTGGTTCGAAGGACTTCCGCTCTTTTCCCAAGGAGTTCCAGGTACAAGTTTGCAAGTCAGGATCTAGGATGCATTCTGGCACTTGGCTGTGTCACAGTCTCCTAACGCGGAGGTGAGCTCTGTAACACTTCCATCCCAACCTCGCAAAGCAGAATGAGAATAAAGCCACGTGGACGTGAAAGCACTTCAGAAAATAAAGAACATCATAGAAATGCTTTTCTCATCTCTGTCATTTGACACTCTCCCCCACCCCCAGGAAAGATGCTTGTAATCCAGATTGCCTAGTACTGTCTCTTGCAAATGCTTGAATTCTGGAATGAGTCTTTAGGATCAGCTCCGAACAAACTGAAGTTGTGCGTTTGACTTAGTCGTCATGAAAATTTGGGAACAGGTAATATTGGAGTTTGCACAGACGATTCTGCAATAAAACCCACCTTTTGCCAAACGGAGATGCCTAACCTCTTAATGTCATTGTGGTCTTTTTAAAAATTAGTTTTTCATTATAACAGCATCCTAACCACACTTATAAAATAAACCTAGAAAACAGTCAAGTTAAAACAGTTCCCCCATACGTAGACTACCCTGGCTGCTTGTACTGGGTGTTTTCTTCTCCCAAATTGGAAGCATCTTTTTATAGTAATTATAGAGCACAAACAGTGGAATCATAGTTGTTCATTGATTTTTTTTTTAATAAGAAGTATTTTCCATGTCTTCACATAACCGTCACCTCCAACAAGCTCACCAGCCAGTCCTCCAAGTGCTGACAGAAAAGAACATTCTCTAAAAGAAGGCCTCACAGCTGACCACCCAGGACACGTGTTCCGGATGCTGCCTGGGAAACAAGCTCCCGGCAGCCCTGTCCCTGCTCCGGGTTTTGTTAGGCTCACTGCTGACAAGGAGGGGGGGGGGGGGTGTAGCTCAAGGCTGCATTCATTTCTGTCTCCACTCTGTCTTTAGATCCCGCTGCTTAAAATACCAGCAAGCCTCCGGGGGAGGTTTGCCCCAGACTGTCCCAGTTTTAGCCTGAAAGTCCTGCATCCTGGGAAACTCCTCAGCCCAGGACAAACCGGGACAGCTGGTCACCCTCCAAGGAAGAAATGAAGCAAATGTGTGTGTGCAGATTCTGCATAACTGGCCAACGTGTCAGAGCGTATACCTTGACCTTGAACTTCTGTGTTAGGATGGGGGTCGCCCACATGTGCCCGTGCGCTTCAGGACCACCCACCCATGCACTTTACCCACCTGGCTTCTCAGCTCACTGTCAGTGTCCCCTGGGATATTGGTTCCACTCCCCCAGCCCCAAAGGCAGCTGGGATATTCCTGTGAGGTCTGCCGAGAATAAACATGACATCTAGATAAAAATAAAAGCTCAGGAATTTCTTATATTTAAGGCTGGCGACCTTAAAGGCCAGCCCTGAAATCGCTTCACTTGCACATGAATCTGATTTCTTTTTTGGTTGCATTTGACTTGTGTGCCCTTTAAAAGTTAAAAATGTTTCCTTGTTTTGTAAAGGAGGGATTTCCATTTGCCCCCCTCCCCGCACAGTGATGCAGGTCAGCCCTTCACTGCAGCATTCCGGGGAGCTACTGCTCTGGTTTAGGACCAGCCGAGGCGACCAGGGACGTAGCTCAGGGCAGGGATTCACCTCAATTCAGTTCAACCACGATGCACACTAGTGCCGTACATCTTAGCCTGTTTTTGCTGTAATCTGTGGGTTTTCATCCCTTAAAGATGACATCAGTTGATGAAATCCCTTAAATCAATTTCAGAATAGACTGTTGAAAGCAAGTTGCTATAAGAGACCCTCAGCAAGCTTCATGGAGAGGAAAACACCAGAGACTCTGGGGCATCCCCTAGCTCAGTGGTCGGCAAACTCATCAGTCAACAGAGCCAAATATCAACAGTACGATTGACATTTCTTTTGAGAGCCAAATTTTTACACTTAAACCTCTTCTAATGCCACTTCTTCAAAATAGACTCGCTCAGGCCGTCGTATTTTGTGGAAGGGCCACACTCAAGGGGCCAAAGAGCCGCCTGTGGCTCCCGAGCCGCAGTTTGCCGACCACGGCCCTAGTATATGAGCATCTTTCCATTGAGGTCTAGCAGAGGAATTACTTTAGCGATGATTATCTTTGTTAATCAGCTATAATCAGGCCTTCCTAGAATGGTGAAGCATTTAAGCCTTGTTTGCTGGTACAGATCATATATAATTATTTCCATACTACTGGTGAGCCAGCTGGAGGAGTTTTGCCTGGGCCGAAGTACTCAAGGTCTTTGAGGCAACATTTTTGTATAAACAATGCGGAATTTTATTGCTGTGGGGGAGTTGAGTCTTTTCAAGATGCTTTACATCGACCAGGATTTTTCCCTTCGGGTTTCTGCTGAGGGGAGTGAAGTGGTGATGGTGACGGAAGGACATGAAAGACCTTGAGTTCTTGCGGCAGAGCCCAGGGCTCTTTCATCTCCCACCGAGCCCGGCCGGACTACCGGAGGATTTGCAGTGTGTCAAAGTCCCTTTTTAATTATGTGTGAGCCTTTTAAGAAGCCTATACCAGGGAGGCCAGGATGGAAACATATGTAGTGAAACCTTTTCTATCAGTTCAAGGATTCAACCAAAAGTCTTCACTTGAGCCAAACCAGCTTCCAAATAGATGAACAGTGGCCTGGAGCTGAGGAACACCCCTTGCTGGGGACAGGACAGTGCGGTGTGAGCATTCATACTGTGGGAGTTGCATAAAAATAGCCTAAGAAGAGTAGAAAACTAAGAAAAGGACTGAAATTAATGGGTTGTATTCATTTTTTAAAAAATAGTCTCATTCTACACATGAGAATACGTATACCTATTTTATCCATTCCTAAAGGTGATATATAATATATACTGAGTGGCCAGATTATTATGATCTCTGAATGCATAATAATCTGGAGAGAAAGAGAGAGAGAGAGAGAAATAGAGAGAGACCTGGTGCATGCATTGGGTGGGGTCTGGCCAGCCTGGCCAGGGGGAGGTTGGCCGGCCTGCCTACTGGTCAGACTCCTGATTGAGGGGACAATTTGCATATTAGCCTTTTATTATATAGGATATACACCGAGTGGCCAAATTATTATGTGTTCAGAGGTCATAATAATCTGGCCACTCAGTGTATATTTGACTTTTGGCTCTCAGACTTACGGGATAAGTGTTTTCCACATCGCTTCATGGTTCAGGCAAATGGTTTTGCCCTATCCCATAGAATGTCCATACCATAGTTCATTTAACCACTTACAAATCATGGTACCTTTAAATTATGTTTGAGTTTTTCTTTATAATAAGACTAATGAATATAGTTTCTTTGGGCTTCCCCCCCCAAAAAAAAATCATTTTAAAAATCAGGACTAGTGAGATGGAAGGTCTCAACATTGAAAGGGTTTGTGACGAATGGCTCTGCAGAGAGGAGCGGCTGTTACCCTGTCCGGGGAGTTCCACAGCTTCACCCGCGCCGGGTGCGACCGGATTCTTTTCCAAGCAAATTGACCATTGTTTGGGAAGAAAAGGCTTGTTTCTTTTATCATATCCATCAAATGGGCAAAAAGTACAAATGCATTCTGGGAAGGAAGGACACTTCTCACTGTTGACAAATAGCTGTCTTATTTAAGAAAAGGTCTTAGGAGTCGCATGCCAGACACAGTTGCCTCCAACAAGTAACAAATCGGAGGCACCTGCATCTGTCTGTCTGCCTCAAAGAATTACAGTGGCCACTGTGAAATCAATGTGGAGAGAAGAGCCATATGGGTTAACAGCCCCCAGAGAAGGCCCAGCCCGCCAGCTACTGCGGTGCCTGAAAGCCCAGTTAATGAAATGCAGGCCTCATGAAAACCCGGGTGTAGTATTCCTCAGCTCCACTAAGATGTGGTAAGTACAGTCCCTACTCTTTGACATAGCCATGCCTCTGAGAATGGAATATCATCAAGTGAGACAGCACAAACATGTTTGCAACCAAGAGAGGCCTTGAGGTAGATTCCTATGAAGAATCAAATGTTGGGAGAATGCAATGCAACTGGAGACTAAGGCTCCAGTTTATTTCCGGTTGTTGATGCGTGTGGCCAACTGGAAGAAAATGACCCCACTGGCCTGGGAGCCGGGCCTCTGTGAGCACCACATGGGAGAAGCTCACGGTCCCTTTTCTCCCACACATGTGCATGTGCGAGGGCACGTTCTCTACCTAGACAGAGTCACTGGCTTCACTCGCTGACTCCTGCATTTGTACCCGGCTCGATTTCCTGTAGGTGCTCATCTACAACGGCCAGCTGGACATCATCGTGGCAGCTGCCCTGACAGAGCGCTCCCTGATGGCCATGAGCTGGAAAGGATCTCGGGAATACAAGAAGGCAGAAAGAAAAATTTGGAAGATCTTTAAGTCTGATAAGGAAGTGGCTGGTTACGTGCGGCAAGTGGGTAACTTCCATCAGGTAGGAACATGCGTTGGGACCTTCGGCTTCTGGGAATGGGAGAGTGGGTTGAAAACAAAGTCTGAAAACACCGATTGGGCACGGCTGGCCTCAAGCAGAGGCCCATACCAGCCAAAATGTGGCCCCTGTGCCTTGCTTTCCACAGGGAAGAGTGGTCTGAGTTTCTGTTGAAGTACACAAGACCAAAGTGCAGGCATTGCTTAGCAGTGAGAAAGAGAATACTCAGCCCCCAAAAGGTGGGTCGATAAGAAGAGAATTAGTGTCTTTGGGAACAAAGGGGAGATTTGAACCAATTCCATGAGGAAAGGACAATGTAATCTCCTCTGGCCAATCTATGATCATATTTGTATATTTATTACACATGGAGCCCAAGACAAAATCTCTCTACCTGATGCCCTAGTGTGACCTCCCCTTTAGGGATCAGATATTACTCCTGGCCACACTGGTCCACCGCACCCTTGCGGATCTTGGCTCCTCTGGACAAGGCTTCTCCAATGATTACATGACGGTTGCACTGTTCCCCTCCAGAAAGTTTTTGGAGAAATTAAGAAAGCTCCTGAGCAAGCATTTGCTTAGTCAAGAGAAGAAATTTAAATGTTTTGGACTTGATTTTTATGGCCCTCAGTTTTTTATTTGAGGCAACTTTGGGACCTCGGTTTTGGCTCCCTGGGTATTTGGGATTCTAAATGCTCGAGTTTTCCATTAGGCAAATCCATGCTCCAAAAAGAAATTAATCAGACACAGACTTCCTTGAAAGTACTTCAGTTTGACATAATAAATGAGAGATCACAAAGAATTTCATAAGGGGTTCCTGAGTTACTTTTATGTTAGAAGAATTGATAGATCAAGTAAAATTACAGGTGTTCTAATTTGCCTACCTCACCCTAGTCATTCTAATCGTTAAAAGCAAGTAAGAAATTTAAATATTGCCCAAAATGTTAACTGCCTTGCTAAACAAAAGAAACGGTTGAAAAGCCTATTTCTGGGTTCCAGTGAGAGGAATCTCTCCTTAGGCCATGAAGGGCAGAGTTGGGGGCAATGGACAAGTCAGGGGTCCCCCATCTGCTCTCTGCTTCATGAGGGGGGTGGCAGCAGGCACACTCGGTGTGTCCTCCAGATCCTTTCACGGCTGCCTCCACCACCTGTTATTCCGTGTCCCAGCCCAGCCTGTGAGTGATGCCAGGCTTGGCATTGCACATGTGTCCCGTGCAGCTCTGTGCATAGAGCAGCCGCTTGGGAGATCAGATCGCGGCTGCATGTGCCACAGAGGTGGACAAAGGGATCACCTGCCACTCAGAAGCTGGTGGCAAATATCACAGGCGCCCGCTGACCCTTTTCGTGAACGCAAAACACATTGAGAGCGGCATGGCACTCCCCCAGCTGCCAAAAACGGGCAACAAAGGGAACAAGGCCCACATATGTTTGTGATAGGGAGGGCTTCACCGCTCAGCATGTCATGTAGGTGATTTACACATGTTGGCAGAGCTCCTGCCCTGAAGTGCTTGGTGGAGGGTAGGGTGGTGGGTGGAGATGAGGGCAGGATGGAGGAGGGAAGAGGTCCCGGGTGTTAATAAAGGCGTCCTCCGTCCGGCTGAACAAGGGGCACCGTCCAAATGTCAAGCGGCTGATAATGGAAACAGCGGACCTTAGCCATGGACTGGCTTTTCAGCATGAGACACACAGAACAGAAGCATGCATGTGTGTCTGCCAAAAAAGAAACCTCCCTCCCTGCCAAACGCCACAGCTCTTAATTTAAAAATCGAAACCAAAGTAGACTTATTTTTGGATGGTTCCTTAAAATGCCCACTTAAAGGAGTGGCAGCTCTCCGCAGGGAACAACGGGGTGCTGGGGAGAGGGAGCAGGTGTCCCCTGGACTCCCAGCAAGTGACACCCAGGGAAACCAGGCAGCTGCAGCCAGCCTCAGAGGCCAGGTGAAGGGCAAGGGGGGCCTTTAGCATCTGTACCATCCTAACAATCGGACAGGGCCTTGTTGTCTGGGGCAGTGGCCTTTTCTGAGCCTCAGTTTATTCATCTGTAAAATGCCAGGTTTGGACTGAGTTATCACTAAGATATCTTCTAAGAAATAGCTCAAATATCTGCTTTTCAGTAATGCCCAAAGGGGCTTGGTTAGCAAGAAATATAGAACAGCATAGTGGCTTTCAGTGTATATGTTTATAGGTATAGATATACACACACACCTCTACTAGCATTGATTCAGGTATGTGTGTGTGTGTGTGTGTGTGTGTGTGTATTAATGTATATGTGTGTATGTGTATATATGTGTAAGTAAACATGTATGTATGTATGTGTATGCGTGTGTGTCTAGTCAAGTCAATATATATTGACTGAATAGTGTTACAGGTAGATCAGAGTTCTAATTCTCTTTCTCCTTGGCTGGTGACAACCCATGGCCATTGCTGTCAAGGCCACTTTGCTGCTTCCTTCAGGGTCTTTTTCTGTCCGCCAAGTGTCTGAGTGGCTGCCATGATCTCTTTTGGTGTTGTCATGGTCTTTGAAATGCAGACATTTTGCTCCTACATTACTGAATCGTCATCTGAACCCCACGGAAGTTTTGACTCCACCTTTAGAAATAAAAATTTGCAATCGAATACAAGCAACACTGATGACTTTCTTCAAGAACATTTTCCTCGAACAAATTTTATTAAGCTACATTTTTCTGGCAAAAGCCTTGGAACTATTACAGGTTTTTCTATATTTATTTGTATGAAAATATTTTTATTGAAATTATTTTCCATATGAACATTGAAAGAAAAGGCACTGGTCAGTTTTCATTCTTATCAAACCTCACTGGATATAGCTTCTAATATTATGCCTTTAGCATAATATCCAACAAGTCTGTTTTCCATGGTTGTAGTTTACGTCATTGTATTTTTACTTTGTTTTTATTACCAATATCAGTTCAGGTTATTTAGTTTTATTTAGTGATTACAGGATGGAACCTCTCAGAGGGGTAACATTTTACAGCTGGAATGACTTTCAGATCTAATGTTCCAGATGGAGAAACAAAACCCAGAGGTTAAGGGACTCTCCCAAGTCTCCTACCAATTCCATGTCAGAGCTGAGATCCCAGGCCTTCTGGTTTCCAGTCCAGTGGTTTTCTGCATCTCAAGAGTACCCACCTCTGGAATGACATATTGGCATTTATATTTAAAATGGGAGTCCACATATGTTAGTTATAATTACAGCAGGTCTGAGAAATAATGTGTTTCACCTCTAGGATTAGCTCTGAGGTCACATAGCTCACCTCCCATAGACAGAGCATCAGGTTTTCAGAAAGCACTAGAGCCGCTAAGTAGGTGGGTGAGACCAGGTCCATGCACTGATAGGAAAAGTTATGACTCTATCTGGGAATTTGTGCTAAAAGAACAGATGCTAAAATTGACTATTAATAAGTTGAGCAGAGAAAACAGGGTAGGTGGGCAGAACCTTGAGTATGAAAGAGTATTTGGGACAGGGCACCTTGTTTGGAGTCTGGATAGTAAAAGCTGGGAGAGAAAGTGGAAAGGGATTGTGGGGCCTCTGTGGTAGGCAAAGGGGTGAGTATAGGCACTGGGGAGCCATTGAAGGTTGTTTGGGTTTTCCCCCACATTTTTTGTTGTGGTAAAACACAAAACATAAAATTTACCACCTCAACCATTTTTAAGTGTACAGTTCAGTGGTATTACATGTGATTGTGGGCAACCATCACCACCATTCATCTCCATAGCACTTTTCATCTTGTAACACTGAAACCCTGGCCCACTGAATAGTATATCCCCACCCCAACCCTCTCCCTAGCTCCAGAACCACCATTCTACTTTCTGTCTCCATGAATTTGACTCCTCTAAGTATCTCAAAGTGGCAGCAGACAGCACTTGTCACCACGGAAGGTGTTTAAGCACGTGTGTTCTTCGGGAAGTTTAAAATGTCAGCAAGAGGATGAATTCAGGGTGGAGAGAGGTCATGGTAGGGAAGTCCCTGGAAAACAGGGGATATATTAGGAGCTTTATGGGAAGAAGGTGCTCCCCGAACTTCCTGATACCTTCAGCTAGAGGTTGAGTCCAGAGCAAAGGAACCACCACCCTCAAAGCTTGGTCATTCTGGAGAGTCATGATCCATGCTGGGTTGTCTGGTATCAGGAGAGGAAGGTAGACTGTGGCGTTAGACAAACCTGGTTTGAATGTCAACTTTGTCACTTACTAGCTTTGGGCTGGTTTCTTGTTCTGTAAACTCAGAATGAGATCAGTTACTTCACAGGGTATCAGGAAGGCCACAGGAGCATGAGCAAGCCCTTGGACCTGTGGTCTGCCACACCCCTTTTTGTGAAATTCTGGTAGCTCCCCTATAAATTATGGGATTGAATTTACTAATTTATAATTGGGGAACCAGAAGTTTCACCCTAGAAACTCACTTAAGGCTTCAAATAGTAGTTGTATCTGAGATTTGACAACCCTAACCGACCTTAGGGGCACCACTGTGCCTTTGAGCCTGAGAGGGCAGTGGAGTGGGAAAGGGTGGAACACTCTGGTTGGCCAGAACTAGCCCACATGGCTGCCCTTGGGTGTGTACGAGGTGGTGGTGGTCACCAAGTTGGGGGTGGAGTGTTGGCGATGGACAGTCTTTGGCAGTGCATCTGGTCCACATAGAATCATTTGTCCCCTACAGGAAAGAGGGTGCCTCCAGGGAGGAGGAAGATGGGGAAAGCATGTTGTGCAGACAGAAAGCATAATTCCAGCTTCCCAACTGCGCTTTTCCAAAATGAACATGGTCTTTATTGTGTTTCTTTGACTACTCACAATTAAGAAGAGAATAACCATGGTGCTTTGAGTGGAAGGATTTGAGAGTTTCCTCAGATAATCCACAGAGAGCTGGCCACCTGCCTTTCTTGAATTTCCTGCTGACAGATCATTTTTAAAAATAATTTTAAACAGCTTTGGGAGCATTATGAACTATTTCTGAAGGAAATAACAGTTCCAGGCAGGTCTTTACCAAGTTCTTG